CCTCGGCGCGCGCCCCCGCAGGTGCAGCCCTGGACGCTCAGGCCACCACCCGCAGACACCCGGGCTCGCCCCCGCGACCGGTCGCGGCTCGAGGTCGGGCTGTGCCCGCCGGGAGGGGACGCGGAGGAGCTGACACGCGGCGCGGCGCGGCGCTGCCCTGTGTGGCCCAACCCCCCGTTCACGGAGCCGCGGCTGTGACTCTGCCCAGTGACGTGGGGCGGCCGAACTTTACGTAACCCGCCCGGCGCCCCACGGGGCCCACGCAGGGTGCACCTGGGGCGCGGAGCTCAGGCCGGGGGAAGGGGCCCAGTCGCGGTGTTGCCCCGAAGGGCGCTGGGGCTGCAGCCCACCCCCACCGTGCCCATGTCTGTAACTCATTTACAGTCGCTAACAGTGACCCAGTGTGTGTGGACGCGGCCTGTCCGCTGTCCCAGGCCCTTTGAGACCAACGGCTTACCCTTGAGAGAAGGCAGTAGGGAGCTTGGGCCGGAGCTGGGGTCAGAAGCCTGGGCTCAGGCTGGGACTGGGGGCTCAGAGGACAGGGTCAGGGCTCAAGCTGCGCTCCCTGTGGCGGGGCCACGGCGGCTTGGGTGTCCCCGCTACATCTGGAATGGGCCCCAAATGGGACGCAGGAGACCTGGGTTCTAGGCCCAGCTCTACTGTAACTTGATGACTGTCCTTGGACAAGCTTGTCCCCTGCTGGAAAATGGGATGGCAGCACCCGCTTCCTCAGGTAGTTGGGGGGCTCAAGAGAGGCAGCAGACCTGTGGGGGACTGCGAGCTGTAGAGCCCCGTGCGCGCCAGCCCCTAGGCTGACTTCACCCTCCTGCCTCCTCCCAGGAGCTAGGGGTGCTGACATGCTGCAAACATGTTTGTGGATGGAGGGCTGGAGCCACTCCCCCGGCCGCCCCTGCCGGAGCGCACTGCGAGAGGTCGTCCACACCACGCCCCTTTCTTACAGATGAGGAAGACGAGGCTCCTCGAGGAAACGCGATAGACCCACAGCCACAGAACTCGGTGGTCGAGGTGCAGCAATCAGGTAGGTCTGAGTCTAGATAGATCACGCCTCTGGCCTGGGGAGAGGCTCCAGGGGCCCCCCCGCAGTGGTGAGGGGTCATCAGAGGTCAGGTTCAGGGTCGAGGTGGGACCGAGGAGTGGGAACTTGGGCTGGAGAATGGATTTGGCTCAGCTTGAGATGTGGGCCCCAGCTTTCCTACCCTCCGCCTGGACTTTATTTGGGGTTGGAGAGACCTCGTCCAGCTGGGAGCAGAAGCTCTTCCGCGGATGCCTGGCTGCAGCGGGGCAGGGCAGGGAAGGGCATCTCTAGCAGAGGTGCTGGAGAGCAGGGCAGTTTCAGGGAGGGGGATCAGGTCCAGCTAGATCAGGGATGGCGGCGGTGATTCTAGGGCGTAGGAAAGGATGGAGCTGTGGGTGACTGGAGGGCCTGGTCGAGGCTGGAGGGAGGTACGAGGGTCCCAGTCAGAGGGGACCCGGTGGGGCCATGTAAGGGGTAGATGGGCGGCCCCTCTCCCGCCCCCATTGCCCAGGTCGAGGGGGCGTGGCCAAAGCCCGCGGCCCGCCCCTCACCAAGGCCCCCTCCCGCAGGTGTGCCGTCGCGGGGTCCATGCCGTGAGGCCGGGAGGAGCCCCGCCGCCAGCATGCCGTGGGACGCGCGGCGGCCCGGGGGCGGCGCGGACGGCGGGCCCGAGGGCTCGGGCGCAGCGCGCTCACGGGCGCAGAAGCAGTGCCGCAAGTCGTCGTTCGCCTTCTACCAGGCGGTGCGCGACCTGCTGCCGGTGTGGCTGCTGGAGGACATGCGCGCCAGCGAGGCCTTCCACTGGGACGAGCGCGGGCGCGCCGCCGCCTACTCGCCGTCCGAGGCGCTGCTCTACGCGCTCGTGCATGATCACCAGGCGTACGCGCACTACCTGCTGGCCACGTTCCCGCGGCGCGCTCTCGCGCCTCCCAGCGCTGGCTTCCGCTGCTGCGCGGCGCCGGGGCCGCACGTGGCGCTGGCTGTGCGCTACAACCGCGTGGGCATCCTGCGCCGCATCCTGCGCACCGTGCGCGACTTCCCGGCCGAGGAGCGCGCGCGTGTGCTCGACAGGCGCGGCTGCAGCCGCGTTGAGGGCGGTGGCACGTCGCTGCACGTGGCCTGCGAGCTGGCACGTCCCGAGTGCCTCTTCCTGCTGCTCGGCCACGGCGCCTCGCCTGGCCTGCGTGACGGTGGCGGCCTCACGCCGCTCGAGCTGCTGCTGCGCCAGCTGGGTCGCGATGCCGGGGCCAGCCCTGCCGGCACCTCCGCTGCCACCGAGACCCCAGCCGCTGCGTCCGGGGAGCCGCGCCAGCGACGCTTGCTGCTTCTCGACCTGCTGGCGCTGTACACTCCTGCGGGCGTCGCCGGCCCGGCTCGCCGTGAGCTGCTGGGCGACCGGCCGCGCTGGCAGCGGCTACTGGGCGAGGACAAGTTCCAGTGGCTGGCGGGCCTGGCGCCGCCCTCGCTCTTCGCGCGTGCCATGCAGGTGCTGGTCACCGCCATTTCGCCCGGCCGCTTCCCTGAGGCCCTGGACGAGCTGCCGCTGCCTCCCTTCCTGCAGCCGTTGGACCTCACGGGCAAGGGCTAGACCCGGGGGCACCCTAGGCACTGGATTTTGGGACAGAACTATTTTTCAGAACGTTGTACCGGGCACTTTACATATATTGATCCCTCTACAGCAGAATCTCTGCCTCGTCTGTCGCTTGCATTGAGGGCTGGGCCGGGTGGTCAGGTGGGCTCCATGCGGTTGGTTTTCAGGGCCAAGCCCCGGGCTCACTGACCAGCTCCGGAAAGTGGTGAGGACCAGCCTCCCACCTTGATGTAGAACCTCGGAGAAGGCGTCCCCGGGGAGGTGACAGCTGAGCAGAGCAGCAGTTGTGCTGGCACAGGGGGACAGCACGTGCAAAGGCCTGGAGGCCAAGAGGACATGCCTGGCGAGGTTCTGACAGGCGTCGTGCTCGCTCAGCATTTAGGGCCTTGTAAACTCCAGGAGGAGCTTGGACTTGATTCTCTGGGTCCCGGAGGGCTGGGCGGCCAGCTGGGGTTGGGGAGAGGCATGACCCAAGCTGTACCTCCTTGTGCCCCCACCCCAACTGGCCACCAGCTTACTCCTTGGGTACTACTGTAGCTCCCAGCCACTCTCTCTGACACCAGTCCACCCTGGATTTGTCGCTGTCACCCCCTTTTATCCCCCTCACCCGACCCCAGCAGACACCTGGTCCTGAGGCTCCTGCCTCTCTCCCCTTTGCTGTTGCAGCGGTTGCAGCCCCGGCCCCTGCCTGCCGGCTGCGTGCCCCTCAGCGGGGTTACATGTGCCTTCCATGTCCACCCTCCGTCCAGCCCCAGAGTGGGGTGGGCTCCGCGGCTGGCCTGCAGTGTGTGTTAGGTGGTGTCCATGGGTGACTGTGGGGTGGCTGTGTCCCCCTGTGGGCAGGCTTCTTGCCCCAGCCTGGAGAGCTGTTTTCTTCAGGAAGGTTGTGAATATAGAGACTTGTTAATGAACACACCAGGATCCTTCAGGACAAAGAGGCCTGGCTGAGACACGGTCCATGCCCAGAGGAGCCCTGGGACCAGGGAGGGTGGCCAGGCTGCACTGCCTGGGAATTCTGCTGGGTGGTGAAATTCAACCTGCACCAGCGTGGGCTGGAGGCCGTGATGTCCTGCCAGGAGCAGAGGGCTAAAGGTCTGCTGATGAAGAGTGACCAGCCCGAGCCAGGCGTGGCAGTATGCACCTGTAGTCTCAGCTACTTGGGAGGCTGAGGTGGGAGGACTGCTTCAGCCCAGGAGTTTGAGGCTGTGGTGAGCTATGATGGTGCTACCGCACTTCAGCCTGGGTGACAGAGGCCCTGTCTTGAGAAAAAAAAAAAAAGACTAGCCTGGCTGGGGGGCACCCCCTGCCCACCCCATCCCCAGCGTCCCTTAGGGGAGCATGCCTGGAGGTGCAAGGGTCCAGGGTGCTGGGCTACACAAGAGAGGATGGGGAAGGGGCCTGGACCTGCCACCCTCTTTCAGGGTGACCTTGGACAAGACTCTGTCCTGGACCTTAGTTTTCCCATTAAGGTTTTTCCTTTCAAGAGGTTTTGAACCATCTTCACGCACCCTACCCGCCCCATAAGGATGTGACTCCCTTCCTTGGGAAGTGTGGGGTGGGAGGGAGGGGAGGATGGAGGGGTGCTCAGCCTCCTGACTGAGCCTAGACTCCAGGCAGGAATGAGGGCTCTATTTCCCTCCTGCAGTGTGTCCTGGGCCAGTTAAATAGCCTCTCTGAGCCTTTGTACTTTGGGCAGTGGATACTAACATCTTTCTAAACCCCAACCTAGGGCTGTCAGGGGCCTCTGTCCTCTAGTCTAGAAGATTCCATGTTCTCAGATCAGGGAGATCATGGGGATGAGGGGCAGATTCCCTTCCTTTGGAGGAAATGAAAGTGGAGTGGCCCAGGGTGGCACAGTGGTTCCTGGGGGCTGGGGCTGGGGCGACGCTGGGGAGCCTGCAGGGCCCCGACGCTGCGGTAGCTTCTGCCTAGAAATCCTGGGCACCTAGTGGGGGACCTTGGTGTGCAGATTTCCTCACATCTCCCCAGCCCCGCCTGTTCTCTGGTGTCAGCACCCCCGGGCCCGAGGCCCAGAGTGGGGCCCCTCCACTTCCCTTCTAGATCTACAGTTGCCCCTTGGACAACAGCTCCGTTGAGCCCCCTAGACCAGGAGTTGGTCCAGGGGGGAGGGAGCTGCTTGCCCCTGGAGTTCCCTGCCTGGCCAGGCAGGCCCTAGGAGGGCACCCCACAGGGCCCACTGTCAGATGATCGGGAAGAGACACCGGGGCTGGTCCTGAAGTGCAAGGCTGGGGCTCTGGAAGAATTGTGGGCACCACAGCAGGAGGGCATCCTGGGCTGTTGGCCCCTGATGTCATCGGTTTGAGTGGGTGGGATGGAGCAGGGCGCAGGGGGATCGGAGGAATCGCAGGCCCTGTGTGGCCAGAGGTCAGGCCAGTGTCCCACAGCCCTACGGCAGCAGAGCAATGCCGGGTTCCTGGCACAGCTTCCACTGTGTGTCTGTGACGCCTGGCTCGGCACCCCCGCCCCGCACTGGTGGGAGCAGAGGGCCTAGAGGAAGGCGCAGGGCAGATAAGCAGAGCCTTGGGTTATCTGGTGGCTGCTGCTGGCTGGAGGGAGGAAGGGAGGTAGGGTGGGACCCTGCGTCAGGCTTATCAGTCCCCTCCGCCCTGTGGCCCCAGGAAGGGCAGTGAGGACCATGGTGCGGCCCCAGTCATCGTTACCGCCCTGGCCATGAGCTTGCGGGACACAGGGCAGACCCAGTGCAGGTGTCCCTTGGCAGACAGCAACTCAACTCTCAGCTGTTGGCAGGTGGCCTTAACAGCTTCCCAAAGGCAACCACTCTACCCAGAACGTTAAGAACAAGACTCATTTTTCTCTGGGGTGAAGCACGTTGGTTCATTTGTTCAGTTCATTAATTCTACCAGTTAGTTTCTAAAGAAAACCTGGCTGTGGCCAGTTCTGCCCCTTCCCCCACGTCCACCCGGGTGCCCAGTGTTCCCAGGGGCCCTGAGCCCCAACCCCCGTTAGGAGTTCAGGGCCAGAATCTCTACCCCTGTTAGAGAGGACAGTGAAGGCCGAGCCACACTTGGGCCCACCAAGAACCAGCCCTGAGAAACTGTACTCACCTCCCAAGGTCTCGTGCTGAAACCTGAAAGGGGCCTGCCAGGAGAGTCTGTGCTGTCGGGTGACCTGGGCAAGGTGGCCATGAGGGCGGGGGACCGAGGCCTGCCCGCTCCTTTGGCTGGGTGACATGATCCTGACGAGTGCTTCTGCCTGGGCTGGCGGTGCCCGCTTCGAATACCACCTTCACCCGGATTTCCTTCTTCCCGATTTCTTCGACAACTTTAAACCACTGTGTTAAGAGTGAACTGAGTTACCTCAAACCTTGTTCAGAGCAGGCGGCTTCCTGGAAGTCAGGAAGGCGGGAGAGCTCAGCTGCAGACCACTCCACACCTGAGCTCGTTTCGAGGGACGTCGCTGGCACTGGAACCCTGCCCCTCTGCAGAGCTGGTTCTGCCCCGACACTTTAAAGCTGAGGTATAACTTACACAACAGAATACACAGGCTTTAAGTGTGTACTCTGATGACTTAACGACAAATGTCTACACATGCGTAACCGCCACCCCAATCAAGATAGGGACAGATTTCTATTTGAAAAGAATCTCCTTGTTTGTAAGATTCATGCTCACTGTAGAACACTTGGATTGTGCAGAGAAGTCCCGGGCAGGGTGTGGTGGGGCCCTGCCGTGGAACATTGACTGTCCTGTGACCCCTCCTCATGTGGCTTCTTGAGGCAGGGCCATAAACACTCATGAACAAAGGGGCCGACTAACTTCTCTATCCACATACAACCACTGCTACTAGCATTTTGGTGTATTTTTCTTCCGTTTTTTTTCTATGCACATATATAAGTTTTTTCTATGTATACTTTTACATATGAAATTGGATCATTTACAGTTTAGTATTTTTAAACTTACTGTAATATAAGCATTTCCGCACATTGTAAACCACTTCTGTAAATATGATTTTTAACAAGTCTTTGGTGTTTGGTTTGTGATATTTGACTCAACTAGTGTTGATAACATAAAAAGACTTAATGTTAGTAGCTGGACGTGGTGGCGCGTGCCTGTAGTCCCAGCTCCTCCAGAAGCTGAGGTAGGAGGATCGCTTGAGCCCAAGAGTTATAGGCTGTAGTACACTATTATCGTGCCTGTGAATGGCCACTGCACTCGACTGGGCAACACAGCAAGACCCTGTCTCAAAAAAAAAAAAAAAAGACGACCCTCGTGTGCTCTCTTGCCTTGCCACTGTCTGCCATGGGATGGTGCAGCAAGAAGGCCCTTGTCAGGTGTGGGCCCCTCAACCTTGGACTTCCCAGTTTCCAGAACTGTAAGAAATAAATTTCTTTTCTTTATATAAAAAAAAAGAAAAAAGTTAACGTTAGAGACACCTGAATTTTTAAAATGTAAATTTTATTTTTGGAATATATACATTTACATGGCTCAAAATTCAAAAGACACAAAAAGGCATATACTACAGGTAACCACTGTGACCAGCTTCTTGTGACAAGTAGAGAACTTGTTTCTTTCTGCCCCTCCTGGAATTATGAAAAATTTCAAACCTACCAAAAGTTGTTTTTTTTTTGAGACAGAGTCTTGCTCTGTTGCCCGGGCTAGAGTGCCGTGGCGTCAGCTCACAGCAACCTCAAACTCCTGGGCTCAAGCGATCCTCCTGCCTCAGCCTCCCGAGTAGCTGGGACTACAGGCATGCACCCATGCCCGGCTGATTTTTTTCTATATATTTTTAGTTGTGCAGCTAATTTTTCTATTTTTAGTAGAGATAGGTCTTACTCTTGCTCAGTCTGGTCTCGAACTCCTGAGCTTGAGTGATCCTCTCACCTCGGCCTCCCAGAGTGCTAGGATTACAGGCGTGAGCCACCGCGCCCGGCCCCCACCAAAAGTTTGAAGAGTACATGAATACCCTTCGATATCCGCATTGTCTCCCTTTTCTCTTTTTTCATATACGTGATTTCCTACAAAACCATCTTACGACGACATGCCCAAGCTCTGCGGCGACAGTGAGACCCTGCACCCGCTCCCCCAGCTTTGTGACAGCTGCATACTGTTTCAGCATCACTGCTCCCAAATGCCAGGCTGATGTCAGGGTTTGCTGATGATAAACAAGGCTGTGCTGTGTGTTCTCCCCTGACGTAGGGTGTGTCCCTGAGGACGGCTCTGCAGAAGTGGAGCTTGTGGACGGACCGGCCCCCAGCCCGCTCCTCGCGTACCTCTGCCCCGGTGCCGGGGCCCGTGGTCTCTTTGCTGTTACGAAGTGCGCTTTCATCTCTGTTGTCCATATGCGACTCTTAAGTGTTTCTCTTACTGGTTTGTACAAGTGTTTAAGGTAAATATGCAACATCAATTCACGTTAGCTGCAATTTTGCTTTTTGATTTTATGTGAGGTTTTCCATTTACAGTATTTTTACATTTTGAAGAAGTCAAAGGTATACCCTATTTTCCTCTGTGGCTTTTCCCATCACCGTTGAGTTTAGAAAACCTTTGCCATCCAGAAATCAGGTACGGTTCCCCGCTAGTTTTAAGATTCCTTGATCCATTTAATGCCGTCTGGCCCACAGTGGTTGTGAAATCACTCTCCCTCCCACGCGGGTGAGGCCTCCTCATTACCGTAACTCCCTGCGGACTCTGCTGGGCTGCCTGGCGCCACTGGCCTTTCAGTGGTCTTGGCCCATGTCATACTCGATACACTGGCCCTGCTGGGGCTCCTGTGGGCTGTCACTCTTAGCAGTTCTCACCTGTTTCTTTTCCCTGGACCGGCAGGGCACAATGAGGTGGCATCAAGCAGCACAGGTTGCGGTTCCACAGAACTGGGTTCCAATCCCAGTGCTTCCTGTGTGACTTTGAGCAAGTTGCTTAACCTTTCTGAGTCTCTTTGGGGCTCACAATATTTACCTGGCAGGGTTCCAGTGAGCAGGAGGTGAAGCCACGAGCGCCTCTGGCACAGCCCAGGGCCATTCTCAGGCATTAATGTTACCTTGTGAATTACTCCCTGCCTCCCCCAACAAAAGAAATTCCAGTGGGGCTTTTGACCAAAAGCGAGTTAAACCTGCAAATTCCTTTAGAAAAGCATGTCTTTGTACAACATATTTAGTCTTCCATCCAGGAATGTGAGACATACTTTCCTTTATTCAAGTTTTCTTTCGTGTGTTCTGTAAACCTTCGCCATTTGTTTTTTTTTGAGACAGAGTCTCACTCCGTCACCCAGGCTAGAGAGTGCAGTGGCATGATCGTAGCTCACTGCAACCTCCAATTCTCCAATTCCTGGGCTCCAGCAATCCTCCTGCCTCAGCCTCCCAAGTAGCTGGGACTACAGGCATATGCCACCATGCCCAGCTAATTTTTCTATTTTTAGTAGAGACGGGGTCTCACTCTTGCTCAGGCTGGTCTCGAACTCCTGAGCTCAAGCGATCCACCCGCCTTGGCCTCCCAGAGTGCTGGGATCACAGGCGTGAGCCACCGTGCCTGGCCAAGCCTCACCATTCCTGACATAGTCTGATGTTTCTTGTTAAGGTCATTTCCCGGTGTGTGGCGCGTCCTGCTGCTGTTCTGGACATGATCTTTTCTGCGTGCGAGCTTCCAGTAGGGCACTTCTCGTACATTTGTTGGCTGGAGACACAGAACCAGGAGCCTGGACCCCTCCTAAAGCCTGCCCACAGCTGTGAGGAGAGAGCCCAGCCTCAGCTCAGGTGTCCTCCACAGGCGTTACTGAGGGGTGTAGCCAGCTCTGCCGTGGCCATTCCCCCGTAACAGCCACCTGAGCAAACTGGTGCGATCTCGGCAGTGACCTGCCAGGAGCTCAGGTGTGCTGATGCGCTCTTGGCAGTGGCTGGGTTGGCAGATTCTCCCAGCACAGCCCTCGTGTCTGCTGAGGGCACGTTCTCATGGCTCAAGCATCAGCCCTGACCAGGTTTGAAAAAAGTCTAGTTTATTGCACTGTTTCAAAGCACAACTAAAAATTAAAACCAGAAAGAAAATTGTACAAAGCGCTGAAGCTACAAGTAGTGTGAGAGTATCAACTAGCCGTGGGTTTAATTGCACTGAAGTCCCATGGTGGAGGAGAGCGTTGCCATTCGTGAGGAGCCGGGCAAGGCACGACAGACACGGGAGACAGCAGCCCAGCCTGGGGCAGCCTCTGCTGTCACCAAACTTTTAAAAAAGGGCTCTATAAAAGTGAAGTGTGAAGTAAGATCTGGGATTTCAGCATCTTGTCCTCATTTAGACCTGGAACACCTCCATCTTGGTGGCTGGCTGGGTCCTGTCAGAGAACGTGTTCTATTGCTCTCCACCTGGCCGGAGGGGTCCCTGCCACTCTCGCTTTGTAAAACACAGGCATCAAGTAACTGGGCCTGGGCCAGGGGCAGACTAAGAAAAGCAGCCAGCCTGGAGCCCTGCCGGGAAGCTGCGTCAGGAGGGAAGAGCGGTGGGCTTGGGTGGCCTCGTCCAGAAGCCCAGATGCCAGTGGGCAGAGTGGGTGCTGCCCGGGACCCCAAGGACCGAGGCTGATGGGCCACCGCCACCGTCCACCACAGGCCCTGGTTTCACCCTGCTGGGAGTGTCACCCCAAACGTCCGCTGAAGGTCCAGGCTGCCTCCCGGAGCCAGCTGGCAGGTCCCGTGACCACCCTGCAAGGGACAGGCTGGGCACACCCACCCCTCTGAAGCTGCAGGCAAGGGCGGTTCAGGCTCAGGATGAATCACGGGAAGGGGCAAAAGGCCTTCCACTGTTTTCAGAAAATACATTTCTCTTCTAAATTTGTAAGATTTGATTTCAAATGAGGTATCTTATGCAGGTTTGTAATACAACAAACAAAAAAGGCAATCATTAGTAGATTCATCCTCTGAGGATGTGTCTGGTTTTATGATATCTGCCAGCAGCATTAAATGTCACCACCAAGACATTTCTACGGTAGCTACCGTGGCTAAGCTCCCCACGTCTGCCCAGCGCCCTGCTGTGCCGTCTCCGCATCCACTGGCCTTTATTGTTTTGGCTGAAGCGTGTTCTCCAGGAGGCGAGCAGCTTGCCCTATGCGTGGGTGGCGAGGGTGTGGCGTAGTGTGGCAAGTGTGTGCCTGTGTGTGTTCTCCATCCTGGCACAGCCAGTGCCCCACCTCAAACCTGGCCCTGGTTTCCCATCTGCAGTGTCTGGTGTGGGATGTGCCCTGGAACCTGCATCTTGGGGGGGCCCCGTGACAGAGACAAAGCGACCACTGAGCACATCGGGGGCTAGAGGGTGCTGACTTTCACTCCGTTTAGCCCTGGGGCCATGAATGTGGAAACAGTCCCTGGACCGACCCCTCAGGTGTGTCCCCCACTCCTGGCTCTGGCTCATCCTGCCCATGGGAGGCTTCTGGAGTCACCTCCCGCCAAGGGAACCTGGAGTTGTTTGTTGGAGAGAACAGGACTGCAGCACATGGGTAACGGCAGTGCATGCAACCGGGCAGCGGCTGCTGTCCCCCAACCCCCGCAGACAACCCTGGCAAGAGTTCAAAGGTGCTGCTGCAGCAACAGGTCCAGTCGTTGGCGGAGGCTGTGCCTTTTGGAAGGAGACAGAAACAAACGTGGATGAAAGCAAGTACTTGGTGTCCAACCTGGCCAGAGGTGTCTGGACAAGGGCCGATGTGGCATGTCCACCAGGGAGTGTCTCAGAAACTCACAGGGTCCACTACTGGAGCCCGGCTGCCTCCTGCCCCTGGGGCTCCTTCAGATGACCTCCCATTCGTCCTCCAGGTCCTCGGGGTGGGGGGTGGTGGCCTGGCTGCTCTTCGGGGCCACGTGCAAGTGGCTGAACGTCTTTGTCAGCCGCTGGAGGAGGTAGCCGGGGGGGCCCACTGCCCACAGCTCGTCTGATGCAGTCACTGCAGGACAACAGCCAATCACACACCTGTCAGTCCCGCAGTCCAGGGGGAAGGGCACAGATGGAGTCGGGAGGCTAAGTCTGGGTCTGGGCTTGGCCACAGTCTAACTGTGGGGCCCTGGACAAAGCCACTCCCCCGGTCTGTGTTCCATTCCCTCAGCTTTAAACCAGGTGTCACAGTACCCTGTCCTTGTCTCAGGAGACTCCGGCAGAGCCCGGTGTCTGGGTCCCGTCCCTCAAGGGGGACCTTGGGATAGGCTCCTACAGGGAGGGTGTCGGCCTCCATGCTCACTTTGGGAGCAGCCTCTTCGAGAGGCCCTGAGGACCCCAGGGGAACCGTAGCCTCTAGCCCACCGAGCCCTGGCACCTGCCTGTGAAGCACGACACGTTTCCAGGAATTTTCTTCCAGTAGTCCCCAGCAGGGTTTTTGTCTGTGATGCCATACCGCCGCGCGAGATCGCCGTTTGGACAGCGGGCCCACACGGTTCTGGTGCTCAGCGCCAGCTGGCAGGCCTGCAACCCTGTGGGCAGACAGGGCAGCCTCCTCAGCACCCGCCGCGGACAGGCTGGACCACCACTTCCCAAGAGCCCGCTCCCTCCTGACACTGCACTCACCCACAGAGCGTCCCTGTGGTGACACAGTGCCCTGCACTGGGCTGCACTTAAGAGCAGGAGCGAGGGAAAGGATACCTGGGCGGCAGGCCCAGCAAAGCCGCCAAGACCAAAGGTCTGGGCAGTGTGAAAACCGTTGTCCCACAAAAGCACAAAGTTGGATGGCTGGGGTTCACCCAGCCAGGTGAAAATCAGATATTTCTCAACGTGCAAAGACATTTCTAAGTCGGCTACCAGGGCTGAGCCCACCGACGTGCGGGTATTAGGTGTCTGTCATCTGTCTCGGTAGAAGCCAAATAACGGGCACGGAAGCTGTGGCCGCTGGGTGGAAGCAGGTGCTGCGCAGCAGCGGGGCTGGGAGTGGGGGAAGAGAGCGCAGTGGCACCCGGGACGGTGGCCACGGCTGATGAACACGCCGGCTGACAGCCCCGCCAACAGTCCCGCGTGCGAGCGGATGGTGGTTCCTACCTGGCACGTGCTCCCAGTCGGTCCCCACAGGCATCTCCTCGGTGATCCCAGCCCGAACGTGCACGTTCCACCGGCTGTCGAGCGCCCACAGCATCTGGTCGTTGGGGCTGGAATGGACACTGACCAAGGTGACCCCGGCGGGCTGGAAGCAGGAAGGGACTTTGCTCAGGGAAGGAGGGGGTGGCGATGACAGAAGGACGGGAGGCTTGGGGAACCGAGGTGAGCCGGGGGCAGCACACGCCTGACGTGGGCCGGGAGGGGCGGCCGGGAAGGGGGGTGGGTGTGGCCCTGCCCTCGGTTGCGCAGGGAAGAAGGAGCGCGTCGGATCGTCCTCAGAACGCCGCAGAAACCAGGCTGAGGGCGGCCCCGCAGACAACCAGCCCAAACTCCAGCAGAGACACGGAGAGGCCAAGCAGGGGTGGGAACCTGCGGCCTTCTGATTTCAAGATTGTTTTTTTTTAAGCACCAAAGGAGGCAAGAAAAGCTTCATCTTTCTCTGCTGCACCCCGTTACATAAAAGGGTTTGTTCTGTAAAATTTAGATTCAGTAAAGGGCCACGTGTCCAGATGAAAGGAGAAGGGAGAAACGCAGGACGGGGGTGGGCACAGTGCTGGCCAGCCTGGCCTGGTCCTCAGGCAGCCTGTGTCCACACTCAGCGTCTCCTGGTCTCCTGTCCATTTGTCACAGGACAGGAGTAGGTCCCTTCAGTGTCCTGTTTGCTGTCTCCTGACCAGCTCCAGTGTCTCAGGGCTGTCCACCCCTCGCCAGAGGTGCCTCCGTGCCGGCGAGGGCAGAGCTGCCTCGAGGGTCTGGTCTCTGGTCACTGGCGGTGACGGTGAGTGACCTGAGCCCGGAGGGTCAGGCTGTCCCCCACTGCCTGACGCTGCCTGCTTTTCTGGACCTCACAGTTGTCCCTGACGCCTCCGTGGCCTGAGGCCCTGCTCTCCTGTCAGCCTTCCTGATCCAAGTGGGACACCAGTGGACCCTGGTCAGCTACCTCTTGGGGCTGCCATGAATACGGTCACCCTGTGCACCTTCCGCCACACTCCATCCACACAGGGCTCCGGTCACAATGCTGGTGTCACACACCTGCCACTCTCAGGGCCCTTGGGCTGAGGGGGTCCCTGCCCCTGGTGGGCTGCCTGCACTCCTCGCCCAGCAACGCCCTGGGCAGGGACTTCCTACCCAGAGGCCAGATGAGCAAACAGATGAAGCCCCCTCCCGGGGGGGCACCAAGTCCCTGAACCTCAGTGCCAGGGCCAGTCAATCCAATCAATCAGGACACAGAGGATGAACAGAGACAGCAGCGAGGATGGCAGCCTGTCTCCACCCGTTATCGCCCTGGGAACCTCCAAGCTGGCATCTGCCTTGTCTGCCTCTCTGCCCTCTAAGGAACGTCCAGTCCTCCCAAGGCCACTGCTGGGCTCAGCAGGCCAAACCGACACACTTCCAGGGTCATGTCCAAACACCAACCCCTAGATGCACTGTCGAGTTCAAACGGAGCAGCACCTACATCCACTCTACCTCGAGGATGGGGAAGCCAGGGCAGCCACCAGGCCACAAGCTGCAGAGCAGCCCAGGAGGGCGGGGTAGGCCAGGTGAGGACCACGCAGACAGCACCTGGCCTGTCCCCAATTCCTGGCTCTGCGGGGAGGGAGCTGCTGGCTATACTAGAATCAGATGTGCTGGTGCATTTTTATTTGCTGTGTTCCCCTCTGAGCAGCAGATATCTTGCTTAGCTTTTTTTTTTTTTTTTTTGAGACAGAGTCTCACTCTCTTGCCTGGGCTAGAGTGCCGTGGCATCAGCCTAGTTCACAGCAACCTCCAACTCCTGGGCTCAAGCGATCCTCCTGCCTCAGCCTCCCAAGTAGCTGGACTACAGGCACGCGCCACCATGCCTGGCTAATTTTTTCTATTTTTAGTTGTTTGGCCAATTTCTTTCTATTTTTAGTAGAGACAGGGTCTTGCTCTTGTTCAGGCTGGTCTCAAACTCCTGAGCTCAAGTGATCCTCCCGCCTTGGCCTCCCAGAGTGCTAGGATTACAGGTGTGAGCCACCGCACCCAGCTCCTGCTTAGCTTTGTTTAATTTACACTTAGTGGCCATGGAACCCCTTTTCTACATACTACATCCATTTCCTTTCCATGGACTTGGGGTTCAGTGGCACAGATGCTGGAAAGGGCTACCCTAGGCCAGGTCCCCGACTCTACGGAGGATGAAGGGCTGGTGGAAGGGCCCTGCGATTGTTCTGCACAGCAGGGGCCAAGCAGAGAGGACAGGGATGCCAGCACCCCAGCATGGTGGTGTTGAGAGGGGCTGCCCCAGGCTCCCCACATCGCCACACAAACCCTGAGCGCTGACTACATGCTTGGCACCACCTCTTATGTGAAAAGAAAAAACCACTGAGTCCTCTGGGGCTGTGGTGTCCACCTGTGAGAGACACAGTCAGAACCCACAGGCTCTCTGAACCGAGAAGCATCGAAAACCTTCAAGGAAGAACAGCAAACACTAAAAGCATCCTCTGCTGTCACATGACTGCTGTGGTAGATTATAGATGCTGTGAATTTTTCGGCCCCACTGAGGACAAGGCCCACAGCCTGTTCTCTGGAGTCTGAACTGTGACTTCTTAGGCCAACGGAGCATGGCGATGCAGTGGCGGGGCCTGCTGTCCCTCTCAGAGCCCGGACAGGCTGGGAGGAGCTCCCTCCGTCTCTCCCCACTCAGTGAAGCTGCGTGGAGGGAAAGGGAAAGGGAGAGGGAGAGGGAGAGGGAGAGGAAGGCCCAGGCCTCGCCTGGCGGGTCCCCCGGCCCAGGCCCCCGACGTGGTGTAGAGACAGCCGTGTCCGCTGGACTCTGCCTGCCATCCTGACCCCAGGTCATGAGGTAGAGCAATAACGAACTGTTGTCTGAAGCCACTAGCTTTCGGAGTAGTGTGTTACCGACAGCAGGAACTGGAAAGACGGAGAAGGTGGATTTGATTGGGGGGGGAGCAGGGAAGATAGCAGTGGAGCCACTATAGCGGAGAGCGTGAGATGGAAGCTGGGAAGGTCGTGAGGAGGCAGAGGACGGCCACCCCATGGCCAGGCCCAGGCCCCTGCACCCCTTCTCTCTTCTCTCAACATCACCTCGGAAATGTCTCTGAAACGTGAAACTTCCCAGGCTCCACCGGTCTCCCTCCAGCCTCTGTCCCTGCCATGAGCCTCCACCCCTCATCAGCCTTAGCCAGGACCTATTGGACCCCACCCCTTGCTGCTAGAAGCCTCTAGAATAGAATACAGTGGGAATTCCCGGCAGGGCTCATCCTCACTTGAGGCCCCCATCTCCTTGGCCAGTCACTCGTCCTGGCACACACGCCCCCTCGTGCCTTGCTCACCTGGCAAGCACCTACCCGCCTCATGAGCCCACTCAAGTTGCCTGCCCAGTCCACAGGGGGCTCCCTGCAGGCGGAAGCCACGTCTGCTCACTCGCGGGCTCAGGGTGCAGAGGAAGCGCCTGGAGATGAGCCACGGCCACCTGCTTCCCTCTGAAGCACCCCGAGTCCCCAGCTCCTCACTTGCTCTTGGCCAATAAAAAGAAAAACGTTTTATTTAAGGATAACATACATTAAAAACGTACACAAATCCTAAGTGTGCAGACTGACAGATCTCCAAATTCTAGCGCACCTGTGTAACCAGCACCAGATCGAGCAGCAAAGGGGCCACAGCCCGAGACCCTGCCCATGAGCCCAGCCCTGGCCACACTCCTGACACCAGAGCCTGGCCTGTCTGGGTCTGACCTGTCCACGGACAGAGGCTTCACTCTGAAAGAACATGGGCACCCCGCTCAGGCCCTCCCCCGGGATGTCTGGCCGCAGACAGGCTGGGGACAGCCTCAGGTAGAGGGAGGGGCCCAGGCCAGGTCTCAGAGGCAGGAGCATGGGAATGGTCTGAATAAAAGCACAGAGGGACTCCAGTTAACGTTGACGATAAGAGGAAAAGCAAGGCGTTCCTATGGACACGTCTTACCACATCATCTCGCGGCATGCCTTAACCCAGCATTTCTTAGACTGGGTTCCAGGGAGCAGCAAGCAAGCCATCCTCCCCGCAGGCGGGGCTCACGCAGCTCAAACTCTCGTATCAGCTGTCTCCTGGACACCTCTGTTTGGAGCCATGAAATCAAATTTGTTCAACAAACACTGAGCACCTTCAATAGGCCCTGTGCTAGGTCTCAGGGAAACCTCAACTGCAAACTAGCACTTGTCCCTGCCCTCGCGGAGCTGGGAGGGTGGGGCTTGGCCAGACAAACCAATGTCATATCGTGTACCAGGGAGAGAAAGGCTGGAAGAACACCCTGACCCTGACCTTGAGTACAGGAGAGAGTGGTCCTGCTGACACCGAGGGAAGAACTTGCCAGGCAGGCCCAGCACAGGCACAGGCTGAGGCTGGCACAGGGGTGCAGCATGGAAGGGTGAGGCCAGAGGAGCCACGGGGCCTGAGGGTGGGCCGCAGGCTGAGGGAGGAGGTGTGATTTCATTCTGAGTGAGGTGGGAAGCCACCAGAAGGCTTTGAAAAGAGGAGAGACGTGAACTAGCGTGTGTGGCCGTAGGACCAGCCCCTGTGGGGGCTGTGAGGACAGGCTGCGGGGAGGGTGGGTGCCATACTGCAGGGAGTGGTGAGGTCCTAAGAGGGGCCCATGGGACCCTGGCAGGGGGACGCTCTGTGTGAGTGGGACCCTTTCAGAGCGGGCACCAAGCCACTGTGGGGCACGTGGCACACTCTGGCTGCTAATAAACCAGGGAAAGTGAAGACTGGGATTGCCTCAGCTGAAGTAAACCGATGTTCTTTTCAGGAGACACAAAACAAATGCTTGGAAAGTTGGCAGACTGGGGGCTACCTTGCTGGCTGCCCTTGGGGCTGGGTGGGTCACAGGCCAGTCCTAGCCTGCCTGGCAGCCCCGCCCGCCCAGGCTCAGGTGCACCCGGAGCGTCCTGAGGTGACGCCTGCTTCGGCGTCGGGACCAGGCCTGGGCCGGACCCCTGCGAGGGATGGTTTTCTGTTAGGTCAGAAACAATGAAAATCCCTGGACCTCAAAGCAAATGGCTTCTTCATCTTCCTCTGGAGAACACACGTTTCTCACAGGTCTCAGTGGAGTTCCCAGTGGGAAAC